AGGAGGTAATGATGGAATCTGCATAAGAGATAGTATTTACACATCATCTACCTACTAATATAGTTCAATGGGAAATTCAATCATATTCGATTTATTATAGAAATATGAATTAAACACATTAAAAATATGGTTTTGGGATGGATACAATAGATAATATAAAATAGGAATTTATATAAAATTTGATAATAAAGAAACCCTGATTTATGACAGTTATGCAAAAAGTATTTTTACAATAACATTTCCTGATCAATAAGCCTCAGGATTTAGGATTTAGGATATAGGATACCAAATGTAGTTGGTACATATTGATTTACTTCAAAGTATTCTTTCTAAGTTTAAAAGTTGATAGCTTTAAACCAAAAACCTATATTAGTTTTCTCCTATTTAATATAAATCCTCTTATTTAGTTGTTATAAATGAACTATCTTTAAGTTGAGATGAAAATAAGCTATTCAGACAGTTGTGCTCTGCTTTTTGATTCTAATTGTATTGATGTTGATTTCAAAAATTTTTCATGAAGCTAAAATTATGTTTGATTAATAATGTCTCAGGAAAACCTTTCTGCCTGATTGTATTTAAGAAATTTATGTAGTGTCGATTTTCCTAATTGTAATAAGGATATTCTTTAAAGTTCTTCATTGATGCTACCACCATATTTCTGACATGAGCCAAATTTTCCATATCATCAATGTTTAGAGAGATTTTTTCTATTTTGTAATCCATTATATTACATGGTTCCATTATTTAAATAAGAAAAATAATTAACATAATTTTTGTTTAAAAATTTTTTTATAAATATGATATTTTTATTGTAATTTATCAATCTCATTTTGAGATTTACTGTAATTTTTTTATAAGGTTTGTGGTTGATTTAATTTATTTCTCTAAATGTAATTTTTGATTTATAATAATGTAATATTTAGATACCCTTATTTAAACAATTGAATATAAGTATAAATAAAAACTATAGCAAACTCTTGAGATATTCTAAACCTATTAAGCTTCAATATTATGGATTGCTTAAAGCAACTACAATTAGGAATCAGATATATTATCTATTTCTACTTGTAATATTTTATTTAAAAAGTAATAATCTTTAAGCATCTTTTAGCAATCTGACCAATTCTCTTAATATTGTTTAATATTTGGATTTAAAAGGATACAAACTAATGAAAATACTTTTTATATAATTAAATGCTGATTTGTATTCATTCTTATTTCAAAAATTTCCGCTTTATCTAGTTATCTCAATCTATCATGGGCATTTTGTAGTGAAATCAATTAATCTTGATTAATAATATCTTGTGGATAGTTGTGTTGTATTTCATTTAACTCATTTTCTAAATTTTTTGATTTATCATACAAATGCTTTATTTTATAATGAAAAAAATTAATAGCACATATGTTTGCATATCTATTTACTAATCGAAATCTAAGGCAGGTCCTTAAATCTAAAAACTATAAGATTAAAGCAAAGAGTTCAGATCTAATACTTTAAAATAAATTTGATTTTGTGTTTTTTGGTGAAAGAATATCTTATTTTTCATTGAAAATCTCATCTAATTCTAGAAATATCTTTTTAAGCTTTGATTTTTCAATTTAGCTTTATGCTTCAATATTTTTTAAATCAAATATTAATTGTTGCATTATTTTAATTAATATTTACAATCGAAAAAATAAAAGCATCTCTAAAAATCACATATATCGATCATATCAAATGGAAAATGCTTATTTAAAGTAGATGATCATTCTGTAAATATTAATTGTCTGGCATTGCCAATACTACTGAAATTTTTGTGATTTCAGGTAGTTGCGAAAGCACAATTAAAATTTAGCCCTCATTTAATAACTCCTTTTCATTATTTTATGTTCTTAGAAAATCACAGAACATTCCAATAGTGTTTATGGATTGTCTATTAATAATTGTGGAAATCAATTTTTATTTTGTGTTGAAGATGGATTGGAAAGGACCACCTGCCAAAATTGGAATCTCAAATAGAAAATAAAAGTTTTAGAATATGGATATAGAATATCTTTCTTTACAGATTTTAGTTTCTCGTTTTAGCCAAGATACCCCGAACCAAATAACTTTCTATTAATTTATTAATTAGACCTAGAACATAATTATATGATTCAGTCTAATAATTATTTGTGATAGGTGGGGCAGAGATTGCTCCACCAATTTTCAATGTTTTATAGTCCTTTTAAAATGTTTTGATAGATAAAAATGCAAGTCATCTGAATATAATCTCTTTAGATCGAGAATAAAAATAGAATTATATCAAAAAAATAATAGTAATTATAATATAAAAATTTTATGATCGAATGGAAATTTGGTAAAAATGAAATGAAGGATGGTTTGAATATAATAATAATAATAAGAAATGAATTTATTTTTATGTTTATTATAAGTTTCATGTATGTAAATCAAATCTTCTTAATCTAACAATTTAAATTTAATGCTGCTTGATTATAAACAAGCTTGAAGATATCCCTAAATAATAAAATAATTGATCTTTCTTCTTTTTTTTTTACCATTTAAAAATACAAATTGACAATTTTAAAAATAATATTATAAAAATGTGAGGTTATCTATTAAATTTTAATGAAATGTTATAGCAAATGTTTATCTTTGAGAAATTCTTGGTAGTTTGATTCTCTGAAAAACATAGATATTGGAAAATTCCTAAATAGATTAAGGAAACCGATTAGAGTGAATTTCACTATTTTCTTATTTAGAAAAGATCCATTGATGAATTGCACTCATATTATCAGGACTGATTGAACATTTCTGTTTAATGTGTTTTTTTAGACTCAGGATACCCATTTTAGTCAATATTTCAATAAGCTAATCTAAGTATCAAGATACTATCTATATAATTCCATATTCACTAATGCTATGGTTGTTTAATCATCAACATTAATACTACTTTTAAAATGTACACATTTTCACTCTAATTTTGTTGTTCTATTACTTAAACTTATTTAATTTTTATGGTATTCAAAATAATTCTGAAAATTTTATTATCATTAAATTCAAATCTTTTTAAATGTAGATAGTTTCTTAAAGTATTATATCTTTTGAATAAGATTCCTTCTCTACACTTCTTAACATAGATACTTATTTTCTATCTAAAAAACAATTCCCTAAATTAAAAACCTAATGCTTCTATTCAAGAAGTATTCTTCCTTAGTAATAAAAAATACCTACAAAGAAATAACTTGGCTCAAAATAGTCATCATGACTAGTATAACGAAAATTCTATTATAGAATTATCGCACACCAGTGATAACACTAGAAATTAAACATTATTTGTTACATAAATAGGCATCCATGTACTTTTAGTTCAAATAACAGGTGCCAAATAAATAAACTTGTTATCTATACTAAAAGCCTTTATAAAATGCCTTTAACCAATTTTGATCTTATTAATTATTCTGTAAAAAATTAAATACAAAACTAATTAGATTGAAACAAGAGAATTGAAGAATAATTGTAAATAATATCATTGAAAGAAAATGATTTTAAATAAAATAGAGTTAACAAATTGAAATGCTCTAAAATTAAAAGATAAATATGTAGAAAAAATTATTATATTATAATTTGAATTGAGCATAAGAATTTATTTTTGTTTCAATTCATCATAGATTTTTGAAAAAATTATGAAATTCTTCTTTATAACTATAGCTTAATCCTGCTTGTGAATTTTAATTCTCTTAATAACTGACATTTTCAACTCCTTATAAATATAGTAGATGTTTAGTAACTTAGAATGGAAAAGTTATTGAGAATAATACAGGTGTTCATGGTTGGTGTTGTTGTATATGTGATTAAATTATTCCTAAGAATAGTGTGATATAATTTGCTTTTAAAATAATTAAATTGGGTAGTGGCATTATGATTGGAATTGGTTTTAGGGATATTCATTAATCTTATATTAATTATTATTCAATTGGATGAGGGTATATTTATAATATTAATAGTTCAAAATAGAACATATAACATAGATAACAATGGTTCTTGTTATAATCATGATTAACCAGATAAAAACGATAAATAAATAGCTTTTGGATATTCTACAAATGACATAATTATTGTTGAAGTGGATATTATAAAGAAGTACGTGAAATGGAAAAAGTAATCCACAAATAAATCATTAGTATCAATTTCTATTTATTATTAGACTTTCTCTATTGATACAACCAAAGATTTGTATTCATGTGTACATTTATTAGGATATTGTAAAGTAGAGATATTAAATTTAGTGTGATCAAATGATTATATGGTGAAATTTATTTTAGTTTTAGCATAATTATTAATAATGACTTAACAATTACTTAAATGGGTCATTTTCGGCAAATTTTCTATAGAATCATAGCAATTTATATATTATAATGAAACATAAGTTATCTCAAATTTTATTTTAGTGATATTTATGAACGCTAATCTTAAATCTGTTAAAAGTTTCCCTTCTTTGAGTTTAAAAAGTTGAAAATGTATAAAAAGCATTTGAATGTTTTACAAAAATAAAAACCATAAATTTCTATTATGTTCTATTTTTATTGGATATTGTACTCTATGTTAATTTATATTAAGCAATTTAAATTACCAATATTATACAGCTTATTATTAAGGATTCCTCATAAGTTAGATTTTGAATTTTTTGTTTGATAATTTTAATATGATCTCCTTTTTTTGAAGTAGTAGCTAATTTATATTTGGAAGAGATTGACATGTATGAAATCTGAGTGTTGCTGAAAAAGATAAAGCATTAGCTTTTTCAATAAGTCAATTAAAACCAGGATTGAAATCTAAATCACCAAAATCTGTATTGATTCTATATGGTAAATTTGGATAGATATAAAATATAAATTAACCGTAAAATAAATAGTAATTTTTGTAGCTATCATAATAAGATTTCATATAAAATAGATATTTATAAATGGAATATTTGATCTAGTTTTAAAAAACAATTTTATCACAATTAAAATTAATCCTTATTTAAAAGTGTCTTTAGTTGATTTGACGATATTATTTTTTTTTAAATAATCTTTTCACATAAATTCTGAAATAGCAATGTGCAAATAATATTGAGATTTTCATTAAGAAAAAGTGTATAATGTTTATAAAATAGCCACACCAGATCCAAGTGAATGAGGAGCTATATTTTCAATGCAGTTTTTATTTTCTGCTTTTGGAATACTTTGGGAAAATACAATTCCTGAAGCTCCATATCTATAAACAATGTAAAAAATTATTTATATATTAGAATTGCGATTTAACTTGTAGAATTTTTAAATTAAAATTTAATTCTGTTAGCAACCAATTATTTTTTTCCACATTTTGTATCTATGGCTAATTAGTTTGCCTTATCCTGCATTAAGTTTTTTTATTCTTTTCAGTACATTATTTCAAATTTTTATTCTCTTAAATTTACAGATTGTAAGTCTACCAAAAACAAATTTCTCACCAGAAAAAAAAAGTGAATGACTAAATAATTCTGAATGATTTTCTCCATAATAAATCTTATTTAAACACACCTATTTAACGTCCATCATTGATAGAAGCTTATCTAACATTCTCAAACTTCATGATATTTTTGGATTTTTTTGTAATCCTATTCATTCAAATCAACTCTGAGAAG